AAGCATAAAAGGAGTTCAAAAACATTTTCTGGCACCATTATCAGATCAGCTCAAACTACATACAAATTTGAATTGCGATACAATAATTAGAAGTTAAAATTACCTTTTAAGATTTAGAGTTGAAGATTTGAGCGTTAGTTAAAAACCAAGTTAATAATTACCTGTTACTAAAACATATTCCATGACGATTTCTACAATTCGAAGTAATAAATAAGCAACATGATACAGTACAATGACAAACTTCCAAAAATATAAATAATTTTTAATGTCTTTAACAAGTTTCAGTCAGCGGACTGGGATGGGATGCGTTCTTTCTTTGCGTGGCAGGCTTCTTTCTCACCGGATGATCCCAACATCGTTACCGATTTTGCTGCTGATGTAGTTCTTCAGGGTATGAAACTAATCGTTTTATCTTCATGAATTACCATTGGTTCTACAGATTCTAAAAAGTCCTCCGTCCAAAGCAGGAATATTACCAAGCATGGACAAATTCAGCTACGGTGGTGATGTTAATACCAGCATGCTAAAAAAAACATATAATTCTACCTCCAGATCCCTCAAAAAAGCTATCACAATAATGAAATCGGGGCACATCAGCCGGATTGGTGAGAGAGTGGTGAGACTTTCTTCTGGAACTCGTGCATCAGAATACACGAGTTCCAGTAGAAAGGAATTTCTTTGATCAATCCCTTCCACCCCTGCAGATGACCCCTGCAAAGTGAAAGCCGATCTCCTAGGAGAACTCTTTGACTCCAACTTAACTTTTGGTGACGGGGGAAACCTACCGCCGACCATACTGCGGTGCCAGAGCTGTATGCGAGAAATCCGGTTCAAATATAAATCAGTGCGTAAAACACACTGTTCCCTCAACATTCAATTCAAGTCGAGTCGGCCCGATGGTCTCTCCTATCGCGTTAAAGATGTGTGTTCCGGAGTTGGAACGGGTTTTAACGCGCCTTTTTCGACTCTCCTACTCAATAGGTGTCGTACTGAATTCCTGGCAGGTAGTATTTGTACACCCGATCCTTAAAAAAGGTGACTGCACGTATCCGTCTAACGACAGGCCTATAACCATAACCTCTTTGTTCTCTAAGATTTTAGAATCCGTAATCAACTGCCAGTTCCTGAAGCACTTAGAAAGTTACCAGCTACTCAATGAGTGACAATATGGTTTTCGTCGAGATCGCTCGGCTTGTGATCTTCTCGTTTACCCGTTAGGCCTGTGCCTCGCCTATGGTCACCGTTATTAACACACCGGTGGGTACAGGCGATCAAGACCAAGGGAGAGGCTTGTGCGGTTAGCTTGGACATAGTGAAGGCCTTCGATCGGGTCTGGCATAAGGCACTTCTCTCGAAGCTCCCTTCTTATGGGTTTCCCATATGTAACTGGGTCACCAGTTTCCTTGCAGACAGAAGCATTAAGGTCGTTTTGGACGGTGCATACTCCGACTTCAAATCTGTTAATGCTGGTGTCCCGCAAGGCTGTGTGCTATTACCCTCACTGTTTCTTCTGCATATCGATGACATGTTGTGAACTAGTAGCATCCATTGCTATGCACATGATAGATCGAGAAGTGCACTACATACCGGCCACCCCAATATTTCTCCTGAAAATGTCATCGAGTGTCGAAACAAACTTCTGTCTGAAATTGAAACTTCCTTACGTAGGGGCACTCCAGTACCAGGTTCTCTCCCTGTACCGCATCCAACGGAGAGCAACTCGAATCGTCGATAGTCAAAAGATCTTCGATCGGCTCGACCCCTTTTTTCACCTATCGGTGGCATGTCGGACTCGAACCGACTAAAACCGCACGCCGTCTCGGGTACTAATAGCCGGGGAACCAGGTATACCCTAGAAAGGAAATCCCTGGTGCCGACTCGACCCCTTGACGTTTCGCTTTAGTGAATAGTAGTATAGTAGTTAGTGAGTTTAGCTTCCATCTGCTCTCTCTATCGTATAAATGACGTGGACAGTGCTCCGCGGAATAGTTCCCACTAATACCGGCCTCAACTATCTGTTCCACACACCATCTTCATCGCCATCACTTGGATAATTGGCACTCTCCCACTGTGCGCTTTTCGAGACACTTTTTGCCTTGCACAACCAATCTGTGGAACAAGTTGTCGTCTGCGGTATTTGCGGACCCATACGACCTTTAAACCTTTAAGAATTAACTGCTTCCTCAAAGATTCCTGAGTTGAAGGCGTTAATGGGCGGCGATAGTCACTTTCCAAGAGGTGACCCCTCTGCTCGTTTGCCCCTCTTTCATAATTAAAATTCACATCACGGGACAAATGCCCCTGTACCACAACTCTTTAGTATAGACCTCTAAAAATGAATACTCGTGATATTGTTAGTATATTTTTCAAGCAATCGACAATTATTTGTTATATAACGGTAAATTAGCGATTTGGTATGCTTACATGACAAAAGGTGCACATTCTCATGAAACTGTCGCAGTGGTCTATTCTACCTACTGGGAAAGGATTTTTTTAGTCTAAGTTGTGGACAAGAAAGACAAGACTTCACTTCACACTTCGGGCGAATCATTTACACACTAAACGATGTACATTACGAGGGGTGATCAATAAGTAATGATAATCAATATGAAACAGAACTATTAGATTAAAAAAAGTATTTTATTTTTCAACATAGTCTCCTTGCAAGTTAATACATTTATGGTATCTTTTTTCTAAGCCCATGATTCACTTAGAAAAAAATTATTTGTCTTGACCCTCCCAAAATGCCTCTACTGCGGCCATCACTTCACTATTGTCCTCAAATTTGTTGCCCCGGAGGTGTTCTTTGAGCCGAGGAAAGAGGTAGAAGTCACTGGGAGCTAGATCTGGCGAATAGGGAGGGTGTTCGAGCAGTTCGAACCCCGTTTCTTCAATGGCAGCCATCGCAACTGCGGCTTTGTGAGCCGGGGCGTTGTCTTGATGAAACAGCACTCCAGCACGCAGTTTACCGCGTCTTTTTGACTTAATAGCTTCTCGCAATCTTCTTATTTGGCCTGCGTAGTAAGAGCCTGTTATAGTGGCCCCCTTTTCCAAATATTCCACCATAATAATTCCTTCTGCATCCCAGAAAAGAGACGCCATAACCTTTCCCGCTGAACTTGACACTTTGAATTTCTTCGGCGTTGGTGAGGAAGCTCGTTTCCAAGTCATTGATTGTTGTTTGGTTTCGGGATCAAAGTGGTGGATCCAGGTCTCGTCCATGGTCACAAAACGCGACAAAAAAATTCTTTATCGGCCTGGAACTTTTGAAGATTCACCGTCGAAATGTCGACTCGTTTCTTTTTTTGCTCGTCGGTTAACATTCTCGGTACCCAACGCGCAGAGACCTTTTTCATATGCATTTTGTTGACAATGATTTTTTGAACGCTGCCATAGGAGATCCCTGTGACCTCAGCTACATGCCTTACGGTCACCCTTCGATCGGCCAACACGATATCTTAGACTTTTTTGACGTTTTCTCCAGTAAGGGACGTGGAAGGGCGTCCCTCGCGATGTTCATCTTCAGTGGAGGTTCTGCCCAGCTTAAATTCCTTTGCCCAGCGTGTGACTGTGGAATATGGAGGAGCAGACTCCCCCAATGTTTCCTCTAAGTCGCTGTGTATGTCTTTGGTAGACATTTTTTTCAGGCAGAGGTACTTGATGACAGCTCTTATTTCATTTTTCTCCATTTTGATGTTTTCTCTTCGACAGTTCGTATTCAAATGAATGTATCTCCCGGTAATGGTGTCCTATTTATACATTTTTTTGAAGCTGAAGTAGTGGATTTATAAGCAAGCAGAAAAAAAATAATTTGGGTTTTTGTGCGTTCTAGAAATACTCGATTATCATTACTTATTGATCACCCCTCGTACTTGCCCTTATTAAATTACGCGCATTATACTCTGTTACTTTGCAAGGTTTGGCAGTTCCATTTTTTTTTAATCCCTTGTCCAGATCGTTTAAAAACATGAAACTTACAGAGATATAGAGAATTTCCTTTTAAATTAAAGACAACTCCCGCACTAGGAATATATCCTGTGTCGAGGGAGACTTCTCAAACATTCATGAAACGGACACAAAGAAGACCACAATAGGTATACAACCTGACTCTCTGTATTACATTATTACCTAGAATCTCACCCCGGGGCGGATGAAAAATATTAACTTTATCAGGAACAAAGCCTTGCAGAGAGAGAATAAACTGTTCACTATAATATGTACATGTCACCGTGAACACTATTAAGTTGTTAGTTCGGTTATACAGCACCGTGTGAATCTACGTGGTTTATGTATGTTTTATACCGGTTTGCTTTCGATGGACTACCCACCGAAAACGGTAAGATGACATATCGTACACAAAAAGAAGGTGTTGTCTATATACTCATAGCCTAGAAACTTTTGTCTCGTTTACTGATAAAAATTATAATAACTCATTATACAGAGATATTTTACGCAGATATAACTCATCCATTTTAAACAAAACAATTGTCTTCTACCTTAGGTCATTAATCTCCCATTGTTTAAATTTAACTAAACAAATTAAATTACTTTAATTAATTTTATGGTAAATGTAAGGGTTAATTTTTTTGTTAAATGTGCACAGTGCACTAACAAAGGGTTAAAAACATTAACTGTTTAAAACATAATAATATTATTCTGTAAGAAGTTGTTTAATAAGGGATATATTACTTTAGCCAGAATGTATGAAAACTACCTCAGAATTGTATATTTCGCAACATGTATATATGAATAATACATAACTTCCACCCGGTACTAAGTAACTAGTCATTCTATACTATAAAATACACTCCTTAACAACAAAGTAAAATCAATATACCTATTCACTTACAATAGTGAGACGGTTATGAATATAAGTCAACTAATTAACGAAATATTTAATTAGATTCGCGTAATGCATTAGTCGTAGGAGAAAAAAAATCACATTAAATTACTCTGCGGTCTTAGTTTTAACATCAAGTGTAAAATCAAATGGCACTTACAACATTCCGTTTGCAGCATTAATTGTTGGAACACAGTCACAGTTATCATAAACTTTAACATTATTTGTTTTCATCACTATCAAACAAATAAAACTCCACAGGCTACTCGCGGCCGCACAAAGGAATAAACCAACCAAACCAAAGACAAGACAAACAATAAATAAACTCGTTGATTTAATTTGAAATCATCTGTGATTGATACATGCGCTATTGTTCAAACAGAAGATTGGTTATCCCCTGATAAAGCAAAGTCACAAAGTGCCAGCACATTTTGTGCGACGAGTATACAAATACCGACTACACACACGTTGTTTTCCTTGTCTTGTTTTTATCTCATTTCAATGTAATAACTTATTAAAAGAGGCATATCTAATAAGCGATACAGTTCTTATAAAGAGATGGTTAGTGACGTAGTAGATCATCGTTAAATAGATTGGTTATTACTTCATTTACTTCATTAGATTAACGGGAAAACACAACATTATAAAATTAAATTTATTCATTCGAAACCTGTTTTAAAAGGCAGTCTTCATATTCTTTTAGTACATTGTGATGTGTAATCAAATTATAAATCGCTGGCCTGTTACCAGCTTGTCATAAAGTGAACCTTACTTATTTTTCGTATTTAAAGCCATTAAACTCTCTCCTCTTGTAATAAGGTTAGGCTTTAATATCAAACGCTTCAATTGCATATCTTATAGTTTACAATTTTTATCGATCACAATATTCGAATACAATACAGTTTTTAATGTTTGTTTTATATATAGCTATGTATTTAAAATAAAAGACTAAATCGAATTCCTGTTAATTTTTTTTTTCAACCTCAGCGAATTTAAACAATATTTTTGCAGTTTTATTTCATTGCACATTTACACTTTTATGCCACATGTTAAATAATACAAAACTGGTACGGTAATCTTTAACTCAAGGTAGAGGTACAAATCAATGTTCTGTTCATACCAGTCTGCTTGATATAGGTCGCCATTTACCGTAAAATGTACAGCCAAACTGATGTGAACTAGTCCTAAAAGGTGCCATAATATAATTTGTTAGATTTGTAAGTAAAGTAAATTCGTAATCAATTTTCAAGCTAAGAGGGGTTCTATCGAAATCGATTTGATTCAGCCATTACGACACGTTTATAAGCAACTATAAGTCATATTCTTATTATTTAGCCGACTTCAAAAAAGGAGGAGATTCTATTTTCCACTGTATGTATTTTTTTTGTATTTTCACCGTTAATTATTTTACAATGTTATATTAATGTTAATTACTCCGTCAATTGTGAACTGATTTTTTAAATTCATTTTTAAATACTTGCAGGAATAATATGTACAGAAACAGTCATTTCCTTAAAGAACTAATTTATGAGGAAACCTCATAAATTAGTTCGGCAATACCAATAAATCAAGCGTAATACATTCTAAAACCCTATATCTATAGAAAAGGGTTTTTCTGTAATCCTGATAAAATTTCCTAAATTGGAATGAAAATAAAACAATAACTTTATTTTTTTCAAACTTAACTTGCTACTCATGATCAAAAACTAATAGAAAAAAAAAAATACTATGAACTCATCATATGTTCATATATCATGTCTCATAGGTCAAAGACTTTCAGAATATCAAAAATTATGATGCTGATGTGGGTAATTGTGAACGAATGCTGCTAGCAGACAGCAAGCATCTTTTACGCAAAGGTCAAAGATTCCATTGATGAAATTTCCCGTACTCTGTTAACTACTAATTATTGTCATTTTGGTATAATTTTTAGACTTATATTGAAATAGTTTTAAGGATAAAGGAGAATCAAATCACATTTTATTAGGAATAGAGACTAATCTCGACAAATATTTTGCATGAAGTACATACATCTGCCATAATTAACTACACCCATCAGGTACTTACCTATTTACAGTCTGAGTAATTAATTTGAACTAACATGATAAGCGTGGCTCTATATTTCTCCCTTGCGGTATCCCTAATTTTATTTTTTGGTCTCGGACATTCTTGCTTATAACTAATTACTTATTTATAATTTTATTAGTTTTAGTTTCGAAATGAAATATTTAAGAAATTTAACTTATTTCTCCTTAATTATTTAATTAGACAAGTTTGATATCCTTAATTTATAATACGCACTGTCTCAAAGGCCGGTGATTAAACTAGTGCGAGTCATTATGTTACTACTAATTTGTATTGCAATAATAAATATCTCTATTATTCGTAATGTGGTTACAAGTTCAATACGTGATTCATGAAACTTGTTGTGCTAAAAGTTTTAAACCCTTAAAAGACACCAAACATATTATTTATAATGTTTAAATGAAATAAAAACTAATAGGAGTACAAATAAGTTTCCGCCGTTTAACGAAAGACGTCCTCACTAAGAGGTTACGTTAAAATCGTCAGATGTAACATGTGATATCGTGACTCTTTATCCGTATCACATATTTCTTTTTGTGCAAAAATGACAAGTTTTGTACCGAATAAGCGTCATTTGCGGGAACTGTTACTTTACTTCTTTAATTTGAAGAAAACTGAAGCCGAGGCCCATCGATTAGTGATTTTGATGTGGAAGACAAAAAACGTAGTGAAAGACCGAAATCGTAAGAAGACATGGAATTAGAAGCATTATTGATGGAAGATTTGCGCCGAACGAAAGAAGAACTCGCACGTACATTACAAGTGACTCAACAAGCAATTTCTCATCGTTTTAAATCGTTGGGAATGATTGAAAAACAAGGAAATTGGGTTCCACATGAACTGAAGCCGAGATATGTTGAACGCCGATTTTGCACATGTGAAATTCTTGTTGCCAGGCAAAAACGAAAGAGTTTTTTACATCGTATAGTTACTGGTGATGAAAAGTGGATTCACTTCAATAACCCAAAGAAGAAAAAATCATGGGGACCACTTGGCCATGCTTCAACATCGACAGCCAAACTGGATATTCATGGAAAAAACTCTTGCTGTCTATTTGGTGGGATCAGCTTGGTGTCATTTATTATGAGTTGCTTAAACCGGGCGAAGCTATCACTGGAGCTCTCTATCGAATACAGTTACTGAGATTGAGCCGAGCACTCAAGGAAAAACGCGCCCATTACTACTCTAGACATGACAAGATTATTCTCCTACATGATAATGCGCGTCCGCATGTTGCGGTGCCGGTCAAGAATTACTTAGAAACACTTAATTGGGAAGTGCTACCTCACCCGCCTTATTCACCAGACATTGCCCCATCTGATTATCATCACACATGGCCCGTCTGAGCAGTACTTTACATCATATAAAGATACTAAAAATTCGGTCGATTCGTGGATAGCTACAAAAGATGAAGAGTTCTTTCGACGTGGTATTCGAATGCTGCCAGAAAGATGGGAAAAAGTAGTGGCTAATGATGGACAATACTTTGAATAAAACATAATGTACTGTTCTTTCATAGTAAACCTCTATTTTTTGTAAAAAACGGCGGAAACTTATTTGTACACCTTAAAGTCGTATCGGTCCGGAAATACAATTCCGAAACAGAAAAGACAATTTATATAGATATATAATTTACGAGATTTTAATATTTTTATTTACATTGCAATATTGCCGGATATATAGGAAAATTCAGTAGCCACCCTATTACATTGCTGAATGCATTTCAAAACACGCGCGGAACTAATGTCGTTAATACGCTGCACTGCACTCCCAGCACATTTGAACTAAAGACTCTCTTCATAAAACTGACAGTCATAAACGCTTGTTCAAACAACAAACTTCGAAAACATATTGAATACTAAACACTTATTATGGTTTCATTGAAATTGCAGCCCACACTGGCGTTTACCATGTTGTTACAGTATTGCGTTACGGGTGAGTTAATCGATTATTTTGATTCACAATAATCATGATATAAATCATAACATGAGCCACTTATTTTAATATATTCCTGCACATTTTTATACGTTCACGCTGCATATATAAATAAATTCAATAATTGCCATGAAGCACGTTAAGTTTCACTTAAAGAATGTACAATTATATCGGTCAGTCGTATGTAGACCTTGCAAAAAAGAGTGGTACTAAATTATTATTCCTTAGAATGGTGCATCACTATACTCCTAATTATGCATATTATAATTGGCTTCATTTGATTTTAAACTTTATGTCACTAAAGCATGGTAAGATTCTAACGTTGTATAAAAAATTTTTTTTTGTAAAAACTTTTTTTACAGTTTTCCTATAAATACATTTATATGGCCTAAGTATCATTCCCAATATAAATTTCTTACTTTTCTTTTTTTTTTGAAGAATAGCTAAAAAGAAAAACGTCTTCGGTGTACATTTTAAAGTCAAATTTATAGTTAAAAAGGTACAATACCTCTTTGATTAGAAGTGGTAAGAGGATAGATTAGCAGTAGCTCAGAAGTTCTACAGCTTTTTTCATATTTTATCATAAGATAAATGAATTGATAAGATCATTAAAGATCACTAGAATAAACAAAACCGATGATCTAATAACACCAGTAATGAATTGGCGGACGTCTTAGGTAACAAGTGTATGTAAAAAACGAACAACGAACAACACAAGTCGACTTCATCGACGAGCATATAGGTAAATCACTTAATGAAAGATAAAATCATTTGAATACGAATACTCTGATGGCTTCTGATAAATATTAAAAAAATTGATAAGTGACATCCGACCGCCAACTTACATACTTGTATATTTTAGACAAGCGTTGTCATAAGTAAGTAGAAGATACATCCATTTTAAAGTTTGATGACGTACCCCCAGCCGTTTGATCAGGACTTATAACTATCACATAGACTTTTTGGTTTTCAGAGGACACTTTGGTAGACCCGTCAACAGCCGCCTTAGCAAGTCACCCAGCTTGGACTAAGCTAGATAAATTAGACTGCGGAGAGAGTGCAGTCGACCGTATCATTGGTGGTTACAATGCTGCATTAGGACAGTTTCCGTGGATCGCAAGGCTTGGATACGTTGGTACGTACATACATACCCTCTACTGTTATTATCCTAGACCATCAACAAAATCAAAATTATTTTTAATCATTCAGCTCTTCGCCGCACAACTCTGGGTTTATCCTCACCGTTTCTACCTTTGCCTGATGCAATGCCCATGAAAAAAAATCATAGGTACCTACTTATATTTTCGTTGGTTAGCTTCTTCTAACAAATAAAATAACTTTTGGTGTTATTACATCAGTGCAAATAGTTATTACATGTATCACTGATCTTAACAGTTAGGTACCTGTAATCTATGATCGTTAAAATCGAATTCGATGCCAAAATTATTAGGTTTGCTATAATGTTGAATCTAAATATATCAATATGATACCGTTGTATCTAAATTGGGTAATAATTAATTATTATAATTTAAGACTACATCGAAACGCTTCTTGAGCATTCACATTCACTTTGCAAGCCCCCAGGCTGGCTATTAACTCAGTTAGTTAAGTACTTGACCTCAAATTCTAAAAAAAGTAGGTATGCAATGTGTACCAATTTAGATCTAACAATAAAAATGTAGTACAAAATTGATGCTAGTAACCTAAGGTGTTTGAATGTGAGGAAAGGTACCTACAATACTATAAGAATATCCAAATGTAACATTTTATTTGTTTACCTGAATTCATCATGTAAAGAAGACTGCAGTTCCCTGTTTCGAAAAAGTATTGGTCGCAACACTCTCCTCAGTGGCAGCAGTTTTAAAAACTAAACCTAATGGATTTCAAGTAATAGGTCATTAGGCGATAGAACTCAGGTACATGATTAAGGGTGTGTTCCTCCCTACCAGGTGAAGTTCAATGCCCCTGATTGAACAAACGTTCTGTATTCAAAGATAAAGATAGATTAATGGAGTCGACAAATTAAGTGAAAATGTACTAGCATAAAAGACGATTTCAAGCAATTATAAAAAAAAACATAGAGATATTTTGAGGTAGATTTTAAAAATAAAAATTACTCACAATTATGTGTTTTATTTGCACACTTAAAAACGGCTTAAAATTATATTTTTTTAGACTGCAGTGTCTAGAACAATTCATAAACGATAATACATGGTTATTACTCCTACCTAGAGACTCATTTGCGTCACTACTAACCATGGCTGAAATTACAATTTGATATACCTTCAAGTTCACGTTCTCAGTTTTATAATGTTTTTATGTATTCAAATGTATGAAATATTCGGGATCTTCTAACTGTTAACAACGCCGTACGGTATAGTGTAATAGCTGGTGCAAATTTTAATTGTAGAAGACGACGAGTTCGACTGGATGTGTGGAGGCGCACTAGTTTCAGACCGCCATGTCGTCACAGCTGCGCATTGCGTCCAAAAATATGATTATGGACCCGTATTGTAAGTTACAATTTTAAATTAAGAGAACTACAGATTCTTTATAATTAAATAGAAACGATTAGCTTCCTGTACTGTTTTGTATTTCAAATTTCACATTCCAATAGTGCAAATAAATCTTTTCACGATTTTTTCCTCAAAAGTATTTTATCTCAATTTTATATATAATTAATAAAAATCTAAAAACCAAAAAAATAATTAAAGTAAGTACTCGCTGATCGATGTAGCTTGCATGTGTCTGTTCCATCTGCACTGAACCCTAAACGGTTTAATCCATAGATTATAATGTATATACTAGAGAACCGTTTCTAATTAGGTAAGCAGTTTCCCTTCCATTCCGTCCATGCTTACTACATCAAATAGTAGATGTTATCATCAAATAGTTTTTAAAGCCATTACGTTATTTTTACATTATTTTCTTATTTCTACATTATAGACAGCTCTCTGTTTGTATTGTATAATAATAAATATATAATAATAATAATATTTCAACAAACTATTTAGAATAAATTTATGTTGCGTGAAAATAACTGTAAAAAATAAATGTATGAAGATTTTCATTCCGGTAAGAAAAATTAGTTTTTAAATAAAATTTACATATTATTATAATAATCCGTGTAATAGTAGTGAAAGGCGTTTGCCTTTCACTGTATTTCAAAGAGTAAAATACTACGAGTAAAGTCGGATTTATAAAATAATTTGCACATTAATTTTATAGGGAAAACTTTGTCTTTCACACACACACGCACACAGACAAATGCACTCACACTCGCATACACGCGCACACACTTACTCATTTAATCATTAACTTAATTTCCTTCCTTCCTTCCTTAATACCTACGTTTTTTTACCTGAAAGAAGCCTACAAAATATAATATCACATATTATGTGATATATCATGTATATTTTGGAATTTTACTAAGAATGACCAATTAAATAATTTAAAACATTTTTTGAACTCTAATAAAAGTACAACTTTACAGTTTTTACAAAAGTCTACAAATACTTAAAAGATTTTTAGGCTTTTGTGATATTTAATGAAGATCTTGAACGTCGTTTCTAAGAAGAGGCCTATGTCCAACAGTGGAATATTAGAGGCTGTTGAGCAATGAAGATTTTAATGGAGATTTTAAATAACATATTATAAGAGTTCGTGACGGCGAAAAGATAGCTGCATTATTAAATTATTGATATTAAGGAGATGTTAACTGTGACATGCCATCTTTCGTTTTACATTTTCAGAACAAAGATTCGCGTCGGCGAACACGACATTCGAAAAGACCCTGACTGTGAGCTGTCTGTTTGCGCACCACCTGTTCAAGACGTTGCTGTCAAGAAAATTGTGCCTCATCCTGATTTCAACAAGCCTGCCTTCCACAATGATTTGGCTATGATCGAACTAGAGAAACCGGTTACGCTAAATAGTAAGATTGAAAATGAACTTCTAAATTCACAAGAATTGTAACCTTAGAGTATGATCAGCTAAACTTGTTTGCCATGTTATTGTCTGCCTCTGTCGTATCCATTTCGCATCTTCTGTGAAATATTTGACTGAATTTCTGTCAATATGGGTGAGGGTGCCTATAAAGACATAAGCGACCTGCTCTAGAAACTGTTACTGAAGCGTAAGAATACCACCTTAAATAACTATACGGTCCGTCTGATGGTAAACGGTTCCCGTAGCTTATGAAGAATTTCCATGTCAGGTTACACCTTTTTCGAATAACCACATACTGTAGTAGTCAGGAAAAAATCAGCAGGCAATCTCATTCCACATAATTTCGGAACATTTGTAGACGGAAATTTTTCTGGAGCCGTGATAAGCGCCAGCATTTTTATTCCTACCAGTAATTTCACCGGCGAGCGAACTGGTGGTAAAATCCGATAGTAACATGATATCAAACGGTTAAGTTACGACAAGATGCATCATTAAATAAACAAAACTTCCAGATTACGTGGCTCCAGTTTGTTTACCACGGACAAAAGAGCAATTACAAACATTCAACATGGGAGAGGTGCTCACTGTAGCTGGCTGGGGGAAGATGAATATGACTACAGAAGACAGAGCCGATGTACTACAAGTGGTGGCAGTAAGTATCGATACTTTATCAGTTGCTACTTCATGTCAAAACAATAGTTCTTCTTATTCTGGTTTGTAACTCTAAAAAACTTGTGAAAGTTTGAATGTTTACGTACAAACGTACGACTTAACGCCTTATTTATATACCCTTATGTATGGTAGGTACATACATATGTATATTAATAAAAATGCGAAAATGTAATTGTTTGTTTGTTACACTTGCGCGCTTTACCTACTCAATCGATCATTATGAAATTTAGCATGAATATGTAGCCACCTGCATAAATGAATATAGTCTCTCTTCTAGGAAAAAAAAGTAGCGTTCCTGAGTGCTAGTGAATCGATTCTAGATGTACTGATAGTGAATCTATATTTACGAAACTGTGAAAGGCAAAAGTCAAATAAAACGTGGCTTTTAAACAAAATTTTCTGAATAATACTCATTCTAAACTCATAAAATTATCTCCTCATATTATCATAACTAAAGTCTCATGTTAAGGGATTCTTAAAATCGATCTTCTAAATATCAAATGGACTAAAAAAAAGTGAGCTGACAAATTTTTTTTGTAAAATGTAAATGTGTGATTGTATTATGAATGAGTTCCTTATCGAAACATTTTATTTTAACTGAGGTTCCAGTCGTGGAGCCTTCGAAATGTGATTCGTTCGGCAAAGGATTCAAACTGGCTACATCAGAAATCTGCGCGGGCGCAGAACACAACAAGGATGCATGTGGCGGTGACTCTGGAGGTCCGATGATGAAGGTTTGATTCTATGAAAATGTCGATTAAACCAAGTTTTTATATGTTAATTGTATATTGTTAATTTAATCGTTTAAAAGAAACTAATTATTAAGTCTTATAGTGTCAGCCTGAAAATTACAGAATGATTCGAATTTGACTGACACATTAGTACCGCGCTTCGGCAGCCGTTAAGTTCAAAAATATACGCATTGCGTTAACACCTGAGTAAAAGCCTAAAAAACAGTAAAAATAAAAAATGAATAGTGCTGTTTAATAATTAGTTATTAATGTTATAATTAGTTATAGATTGCTATTACTCATGGTGTTAATGTAGTAAGTAAGTATATTTACGTAGACAGTAGTACTCTATATGCATATTAAAACACTTGAATGTACTTACTAAAGCACCCAAACTGCATCAGAATAGTTGGTAATGTGTAATACAATATTTAAAATCTTACAGATATATGACACACCCGACGGCCCTAAACACTATCTAGTCGGAGTAGTGTCCTTTGGGCCAACGATTTGCGGTATCAAGAAACCTGGCGTGTACGTCTCAATAGCACACTTTATCAAATGGATCCTTGATCATGTAGACTAAATATTATATAGTTTTGTAATTTTTTGTAAATTTAGAATAAAATTCATAATCATAACTATAAATTTATCTATTTTTCAATTTTTATTAATATTTTTGGTCTGAAAACCTAGAAAACTGTGATAATACGTATTCTAAGTTAGGATTACTAATATCTACTAATATAATATATATTTAATGATTAATCAAAGCTAAAATTAAAGGTGACTGAAATACTGTAGGATTATTATAACAATACCCAAAACAGCACCTTAGTGAAATAATCTTTGGCAATATGAGGTATATTGAGATAGTCATGACCTTATTGGATAAATTTCCCAAGGCAGATAAAAAAAAACATAAGATAGTCAGATAAAAAGGATTCAAAAAATTTATTGGGTAAGTTTTACATAAACAATCAAGTACGAGTATATATCATCTTGTTTAAAACCGTTAAGTGCAACGTGAGAATAATTAAAATAGTGTTATATTTTACCTCGCTCTATACTGACCGATACAATTTCTGAATCTGAATATTTGTCGTCGAAGTCAATTCTATTGAGAAATTCTGCAACATCGCAATTATAAGTTTCAGCTGCATCGTTAATAGAAACCTTACGAGAGCGAGTTGGACTATTATAATGATATGACTTATTCTTGGAACTGCTCCGTTTCTTCGTAGTCTTTCTAGGAGAATTTTGTAGTGTGTCAAGAGTTAGAGACTGGGAGCGTGGTGCGTAATATCTTTCAAAAAGCATGGGTTGCTGCTGAACTCTTCCATACATTAACTCCATCTCATGAAGAAACTCTTCTCGTCTCATTCTTTCCTCATCGCGCCGAGTCTGCAACCTCATGGCAATATCTTCTTCGTGACTATAAGGAAAATGTTAAGGTAGATAAACACTAGTTGTAAGTAATTTAATTAGGAAAGTCACAAGATAATGAAAAGGGGAAAGTCCATAAAATGCCTTAAAAGGGGCGGAACTACTACCAGTTCTAAATGTCTAATTTCTATCTTTTTGAGCATGTCAAATGTTCAAGCTTGTTTTGTAAAGGGCATTATACATTACGAAACACTTTAGGAAAACAAAATTAATGATTTTATACCTAATTCACATACATATTCGCCATGTATCATAATAGGCGCTTTTCGAGGGATATACTTAGCTTTACATTTGAAAGTTGATCTTTAATATATATATTCTAATCATTTCTACGATGAACAAGGTTTTGTGATTTAATGTTGGTAAACCAGTTCTTTTTTCTGTTTTGTGTTTTTGTTCTCCGTTAAAGTTTTCGGTTACATTATTGTATTGAGGAAACTCGTACCTAATCGGCAATCGTTTTATCTAGTTAAATTCCAGACATTCTTTAAAACTACCAATATAAATGAAATATGTTAAAAAATTGTGCTTATGTGCACCTATATGTTTGTATATGTGTTTGATAAAATATAAGTGCTCGATTAATTAACTACCGTATCATATAAATAACAATATGGAAAACTAACTTGTTTTTTACAAGGTGCCAAGCAGGCTTAGAGCGGAGTTGACGACTGCGTTGACGTATTTCATTTCTACGACGTAATTCGGCCAGGTGTCTAGCAGACTCTATTTCGAACCTCCTTCTAACCGCTTCAGCTCTTAACAGGGCTGCTAGGTTTGACCTTCCGGAAGCAGAAGCCCGAAGATCTAACGCTGAATATGCTCGAGCTCCTGGTCCATCTCCAAAATTGCCGCTACCACCACTTACAGTACTTTTGTTTTCCTGGTAAATCTTCATTGCGACATCATTCATCTGTATTAATTTTATTTTATTTTAAACAGGCTAAGTTAGGTTAAATATAACACAAGTTGATAGCATGTCTGTAGTAGAGGGGGCTTGTAACTCAAGAACCGTACCTTCTTGGCAGCTCTGTCGGCTGTGTTAAAGCGAAATGGCTGAGGGCACGTTGTGATAAAACTTTCCTTGGGATTTTTATCACGTTTCTTCCGCTCTTTGTTGGGACTGGAGCATCTTTGCCTCTCGGACGAAGATGTGGATGGTATTCCTGGTGAAGGGTCTATAGGTAGATCGCTGTGTGCCGCTGGAGTTGACAAACGGCTTCGATCTCGAGCTACCGTAGAACCGGGATAGCTAGCGTGACGCAACATTTCCTCGGCCCTTATACGTTTATTCATAGACCTGAAAGATATGTGATAATAGGATGGTTAAAACACCGCGTATCAGCTTTTACCTGCAGCTTCACTGATTTACTAGTTGTTAGTAAATCCGTAATTATATCTCTCAGCAACAGTTCTTTTTTTATGTAAAATAAGTACTTTCTGCGAAAATGAGTTATTGAGACGCTTTCGTACCTCAAGTACCAAAGTACTAATCGTGAAATTTCATACACTCGTTACAAAAGCGGTACTTTTAAACAGAAAAAGTATTTACTGTTTCTGAGGGCTATCTGAATTCTTCTTAGGCTACCGTACCTCGTGGAGTTATCGAGTTGAAATTAAAACCATATACTCAGGTCTATGGTTTTTATCGTTTCCCCAAAAAATTATTACACACTTAAATAATATGATAGCAACAAAAAACCACTAATGTTTATACTTGTGCTATCTTGAGTATGTCTATATTATATATACAAATCAAAGATAAAATTAATTCAGATATACATCTCGCGTTACTGCAGAACGCGAAGCGAAAGATAGTTGTCGTTTAACAACGATCGGCCAGAAGTGCTTTTTGCAAATGCTTGCGTAAATACAAAGAATCGTTTACCTAAAAAAGTAGTCTTCTCTCATTTTATCATAAAAGTAGTTGGAAAACAAATTCTTGGGTACAGGTCTCGCCTTAAAACGTTTCTTCTTTTTAGTTTTAGGAAGGACGTGTACAGCTCGATCGCAAACACCGCCTGGACCTTTATCTTCTCGCTTCGTGAAGCTGAACGGTTTCATTTGGGCTCTTAACTCAGCTTCGCTGTTTATCTTGGTAATTGCACGCCTGTAAACCATGAACAAGATAAATAAGTATGTATGTTAGGTATATAGTGCTCTTACATACCACATTCCTTCCACATTTCACGTTCTAGAAGATTCACTGAGCTACTGACACTGAATATTATGCTGACATCACAGCTCTCCTCGGCTCGCTTCGATCAAAATAATGATAAATAATTATGTCTATATAACACATATATTTAAATTGTTATATTCGTAATAACAAGACATTACAAATTACAAAAAATAAAAAAACAAATAGTATGTTACCCATTCTGTACCCAATTACAAATAAAGTATACCGTGGGGTATAGTAATGAAAATTAAGTTGAAATAGGATAGGTACGATACTAAATTCGGCTTTAACAAGAAAATTGCTTTTACATAAAGAAAGGTGAATGTATATTCGTGCGTCCAATATAACGTATACTCGTATATAGTTATGTACGTTACATTAGACGCACCTACATTTGGTTGTAGATTTGATAATACCATGTATCGTAGTAACTTAAATGTTTAGAAATATTTTGTAAAACTATGAGCAGTCGTTAACTATCTCATCCTATTCTTAATATAAGTAGAATAGAATACTAACATTAGAAATATATATCATCCTCAACATAACATTAATCAAATCACCAACCATTCTACAATAATCGATTTTAACTGTTAAAATGTTAACATACAAAGTAGTGCATTAACATAAATTATTAGCAAGTGGAAAGAAACCAGTTCAGAAAGTCATATTGTGCTATGAATTTATGAAATTTTGTTGACAAATTACAAAACAAAATAAATCTCTAACTCACTTTATTACTACCTCTGCTAAATGTAGACCATGAAAAAATTGGTGTTTCTTCACCATCATTCTTAACTAATACAGGTAAACAAAGACAACAAGATGGCCAGGAAACGCTTTTTATGTTAGGTAGGTAAAATAGTTAAAGAGGAAGGCAACAAAGTAAAATGTGTTGGCAAATATAAGGGTTTTGAAAGCTCAAGGCATACAATTACAATTACCTTGGTAGGAAAGTAAAAGAAATGTCCCACGACGCAAACGGTATAACTTTCAAAAACGTTAAATAAAATAAAAAAATGAGTAAGAAGCATACAATTTGTGTTTTCGTGTGCAGTGCGAATGAACCTCATAGCTTGGTCCTGAAGAATTTTATCGTAAAGAGGGATGCGAGATTCAATAGGTACTGGCTTCGCTCTAAACATTTTTCTATCACGTTTCTGATGCAACATGTCTTCTGAAAATGATTTACGGAGACATCGAAGTTCATTGACTATACGTTCTTGTTCGTCCCTGTTGGTAAAGATAGAAAATTTTGTAATTACTTTATGGGATACTTAGTCATACCTGTGCAATATTAAAGGCAAAATAGTTATGTCATTATTTAAAATTACTATTCACCTTTCTGTCATTTTAAAAGGCTTGGGGATGGTGATACTTTTTCGACGTCGCATAGGAGATTCGGTACGTTTCATTCTTAATGGACTTGATGGCATGCTACGTGTTTTGAACTCATCTCTATCACCGTAATCATTTTTTTTTATGGAACTATCATATTTCGTTCCTTCGAAAAAAGCATTAAACTTCTGATCGATTTCATTCTTAGACTCAATTTTAGCATCATTCCAAGATATCGAACAAGCTGAATGATTCCTCTTTGGACGCTCAGTTCTACTTTTTTCCAAATTACTTCTGACAGGAGCTATTTTTAAGACACAATCATTATTTGTTATTTCTACCCCTTTCCTTTCCGTATCTGTTTTTGGTACAGATCGTTTTAAACATGTGCCTGAGATAGATTTGTTTAAGGGTTTAGAGTTACTTAAACAATTTGGTGATTCTCTGTTCATATTACTATTATCCTTATCTCCTATGGATAATTTTCTTCTTGTTTTTTTAGTTTTACTTAACTCACTCGGCAATATTCTTATATCATTTGTTTTATCAATTAAACTATTGGACATTTTATCATTTGGACCATTACCACCACCCACTTCATCCACGAATTCAGTTGCTAGTCCTAACATAACTTTCTTTTTTTCTCTCAAAGATTTAAGCGTGGAATAAAATTCGTCAGGTGGCAAGTGGTTGATATCATTATAATCTGGAATGCTTTTGTAAAATTCTTTTAATTTTGCTGCATCCCCTTTTGCTGCTGTCACCGAGCTGGTAGATGACGAGTCAACTGAACACTGCTGTGTGAAACACTTCTCGTGGCGCTCATAGGCAGACTTCGGCATTTTACTAATAGGGTCCACAGGAACTCTTAAGCATAAATTCTTGAAAGCACTGGTCAATTGCGTCATTACGGATTAGAATTACCACATTTTAACTTATGCATTCTATATTCTTAGAGTAGGAATACAGTAGGAATTTGTTGTCATATTCGTTTCCATGGAATCGATGTTTGTTTATGCACATTCAAAGTTTCCTACTATGTTTTGCGGTTAAAGTCAATATGAGTATAAAAGAAATCTTATTTTTAGGTTCACAATATGTATCTAGTCCGTGTTATTTATTTTATTATTTTATTTTTATGTATTTATTGAAGGACGAGTCCTTCTTAGAATAAAATTCAAGTTTAAATGCATATAATATCTGTTAGTGAAAATATAATATTCACAGAAATAATCAACCAAGAGGTATATCTCATGGATTATTATTTCTGAAATATTTACGGAGCTGTTCATTTTCTTACAGAAAGTGTTTTCTAACCAGTGTTGCTATTTATGCAGACATGATACCTGAGTCTCGTCATCACTCATGCTATTTTCAAAGATTCTAACAAAAATTGAGACCTAATGTTGATGAGATCCTCTGACTCGAAAAATTGTTGCCTATATCTTGGATCCAATAATGTAGACAGGGTGATAATTTTGTTTTTCTCCAGGTCAAGCCCACTCTTTCCATCAAATCATTTTCCAGCAGGACTTTAACTGCCACAATTTCTTTGTTTGTGCTGTAATTACTGTAAATATATAAATATTTCTGTAAAGTTTTCAGATAAAGTATCACTTCAGACACGGAAGAGCAACTTAAAATAAATTAAAAATTATAAAATTTTGGTAATCTCTTCAAATGGATTTAGCTTTTCAATAATATTTTTAAATTTTCCATGCTTCAGTAGACAAAGTTTCGAAATTTCTTCAGCAGACAAATTATCTTAGACAAGCTTTACTCTAATAAAATCATTGTCCAATTGTTTAAAATAAAACATAGACGAGACTTTCTTTTGGACATGATTATATTTTAATTGAGCTATTTCACTTTAAGGAATGATAGATAACGGTCTTGATTTTTAATAAAAAATAAAAATCAGCGTGCAAAGTAAAAAAAAATGTCGCGACTTGCACATCAGCTGTAAAGGAAGCGTTACGGGAAATGACGCATAGGTACTCCTGAAATTGTGATCGGCTTAGCCGATTACTCAACCTATTTACAACCGACTAGTCGGCCAAAGTCATCTGTATCAAATACTTATGTCTGCGACCTCTTAAATTGTTAAAAGAAACAAGTAGCAACAGTCCAACAACAGAACTCTAACCTCTCAAATTAATTATCTTTACTGTCCATACACAGGCCACCGGTTAACCTATGTTGCCGTCATCATATTTCGGCTCTATTTTATTTGTCGTCGTAACAGATAACGCAAGTCACTAATGGCTCCTTTGAAATTGAGAAATTGAGGCTTCAGTAGATCGAAGAGGCCGGGATTTCGTACAGGGACATCAACTAGCCAAATAACTACTTCACAATAAACGGGTGTGTAAATAGCCCACGGTTTAAAATAGAGAAATAGTGGTGCGCTCTCTCCGAAAGAAAGAGTTGTTAAAATGATAGATATGGCCTGCCGGAGTTAATCAGCGAATTGCATATATATACTTCAGTCATACTTGGTGATAAATCTGATTTAGTTCACCAGGTTTGGCTTATTTTTACTTACTAATATTATAAAACTACTATGATCTGCCGTTATATAGATACATCTATTAGTATTACATCTTTTAGAAAAATATATGTCAGAGTGACATGTTAAAAACAACAAATATAACCTTAACATTACAGGTGACCGCTTTTTGTTTTTACCACAAATGAAAATTATTAAAAACAAATAAAATTCTTAATTTATTATAGTAGTACCTCAATAATAATCTTAAGCGCTTTTAGTGATTGCCGTCAACATGTTGATAAATAGCCATGTAAAGCGATTTTTAGTGTCACAATTTAAATTGAATTCCAAACTGATTACGACAAGTCGTGCAAGGACTACAGCTGCAGCCCAGACTACTTCATCAGAAGATATAAAGCATCTGGACACCACAGACCCTAGTGTAAATTATAAAGGAAACTATGATATCATCATTGCTGGTGGAGGAATGGTTGGATGTACTCTAGCTTGTGCTTTAGGTTGAAAATTTTATTTATATATTATTGCAACTGGTAGTTTCAGTCCCAAAATATGTCCTCAAGAAAAATGCATTGAAATATGACTACAAATAGTTTTTCACTATTTCCAGGATAGTTAGTAGTTTGTATAGTCCAGTAGTTTAAACTTCTAAGTTTACTGACTTCTAAAGGAGCAAATATGCCATAAACATGATTAGTGTTACAGGATCCATTGGTAGAAGATTATGGTCATTTTGACCTTTAAACACTTGAGGCCTATCATCATCAGGCCGCAGTGGACAGCAATAGACTGATGATGATGTGGTCTAAGTAGGTTTACAATAAATAAGTAAAAATAATATAAGAATATTGTGTGTAAAAGTTGTAAAACATTGATAATAACCAAATACCTAGAAAATCTATAAGCAAAATTTGACACTTTCATAAATCTTAGTCAATCAATCAGTATTTTGAGGTTTGCAATTTGAGCTTCTACTAATTTACATAATCTGACAAGATTTTCATACTTGACAAAATGTAATTAGTACAATCATTTAAAAATATAAAAAGATTATTCATCATATTATTACATAGCAACTTAGTCAAAAATAGTATAGTTAATCTATTACAATATAATACACAGTATAATATGGACATATAAAAATAGGCAAGAAATTTCATAAGATAAAAGGAGAATTAAAGCACTCTTTAAACTACATCCTCCTCAGATGTCCCTGCAGCTAATCATAATAATTATTATTAAATATGTTGATAATAATAATTCTTTATTTTCTTCTCACAATCACCAATATACAATATTAACTTACATCAATAATTAACATTAGAAACAGTAATTGTAGAAAGACTGGTGTCTGAATTAGGCATGAGCCTGTAGCTCTGATCATCAGTTGCTCACCCTTCCTAAACGTTTCTTTGCTGTCATTACATTATTAATGCAAATCAAGGAAATACATTTTAAGTTCAGAGAGACATGAATACAAAATACATAATAAAAGTTAAGAAAATAAGAAATAGACTACATGCCTGATGCCTCAAAGTATGTTTTGCGCATGTGTGAATGTTTGAATGTATGAGTATATATGCATGTCTGTAGTAAGCAAATAGAGTTTGCTGTAATAAGTTTATTAGTTAATTTGTTTGAGAAATAAATGAGAAATTATTAGCTATGTAATAAACTTTCAGTAGTACGATAGTCAAGGCCTTTTAGCCATGATGTCATGGGTTTATCCCGTTCATCGTGTCTTTACTACCAACTTTACTTTCTATTATAGTATTTTTTTTCTATTTTTTATTATATATTATTAATCTCCTCCGTTAGTCCCCCTTAGTCCGTGTGGTGACAGATTAAGAATATGGCAGCAACAAACAGCAGTGCAAAGAGAGAGACAACTTGAAACGAACCCTGCACCAAACCGTGTGGCCAGCATGGTATAGTAGGCCAAAACCTCCTTTCTAAGGAGAGGCCTATGTCCAGCAGTGGACTATTATAGGCTGTTGGTTGATTGATCTCATTTGAGTCCCCTGAGAAGTTTAGGTTATATAGGGTTTGGCAGTCTCTAACTATGTTGCGTTGGGTTGGTAGCCCAAATTTAGCATGAGGCTACCAATATCCATAGATTATGGAATAGCTTTTGTTATATGGGGTAATTTACCAAGTTCTTAGCATATATATTATAAATATTTAAATTTTATTTTATTGTCCAATACAAAAATTCATACATAAGTTTTTTATATAAGACACATCTTGGTTACAATTATATCACATAATAGTTGAGTATTAGCTAGATAGTAAATAGTCTTTCAATAGTTTTACAATTATTTTATGCAATATTCTACAGGTTTCAGTAGGTATGTTGTTCATTATATGGGGCAGCGTGTGTTCCACATCCGCATCCCTTCCACAATAGTATGCTAGACGACTACAATGAATAAAGTATGTTACTTGTGGAAAATATATATATGTATCCTATATACTTCACACATACTACTTTAATACAATAGTGTTTGATACTTTCGTTTAAAACATACTAATAACATTTTTTTGTTATTAGTGACCCTGGTTCTAAAATGTTGTCTTCGATTTTCAATTTCTTGTTCCAGCAAAACACAAATTACTTTCAAATTTGAAAGTGTTACTATTAGAAAGCAGTCCATCCAAGAAAACTGAAATATCTCAGGAATATAGTAACAGAGTTGTTGCGCTAAATCAAAATACAAAGTCTTTGATGCAATCACTTAATATATGGAAGCATGTTGAAAAGATAAGACTGCAACCTGTGAGATATATGCAAGTAAGTAGTTATAATAGTATTAAGGCTGCAGTACATATTGGACTGTGATGGCCCAGGCTCTGCAAAGCGCAAATGTAGGCCAAAAACGCGTTGGTGTTCACACATTGGTCCATAGATCATTGGTGCCTGGCGCACCATTTGCGATGGACGTGGATTACGGCCTCGTCTATTTATTTGTATGCTTCTCCTACATCAGAATGGATTTAATCGTTTTTTTTTTTTAAATGCAACCGAAATGTTACCATCAATGACTCTTTCTTTTTTTTTGTAAGTCCAACCTACCTTCTTCGTCTGTTTGAAGTCGGTGACAAGCCAAATAGGTACTTTATAGGATAGGTGGCGGCGTGGCTGTAAGGGTCCTTATTCTGCGAAAAACATGTTAAACGAGCAAAAGTGGGTTACGCACATCTCAAATGATATTATTATTCTGAATGCATTATTAAGTAGTTAATTAGGTTGCTTAATTAGTCTGGTTGGTCTTTATTAATTAACAAAATCTGCGATGTTTCATTAGAAATGTCATTAATTCTTTATTGGGCTGATATAAAGCTGACATACATCCTCAACATTACTTATTGTGCATGGGACTTGGCACCGACTTTAAGCAAACTAGAAAGTATCTATTGCTATTATAATGTTACCTATTATATTGAAGGTCTCACGTATTTTTTTTTTCAATTACGTTTGTAATTATTTTTGAATTTTTTGTGCTTTTTGTTAGTATTGTTTAAAGTCGGTTATTTTTTTTTAGGATTTATTTTACCATTTTTATTGTAATATACGTTTCTAATGAGTAGATACATATAGCAAACGCAGATACATATAAAAAGTACTCTTACTTAACCAACGAAATAACTAGAAATAGTTATTTCGGTAGGTTGTATGCCGTGGAAGTTAGTGCGAGCGGTACACCAGCTAAATCCCTTTAAAACCTGCTTAAAGACCTTGGATTGCTGAGAGCTTCAGTAGTCTCTTTTCTTGAACGAATACCTAAAGCGGCATTGATAGGCTCGTATCAAATATAGTCATGAGCGCTGATGCGTTGCAAGGAGAACTCCCTAAACCTACTCCTGGGTCGCAATTCTCAGGCGCTGGCGCAGTCGCATGTTATTGTTATTGTCTACCACGTTTTTAAAAAGTACGTAGTAGTATTTAGGTATATTACCAAACTGTAGTATGCTAGATTATTTTATTTATTTATGATAATTCATTATGCACATTTTTTAATTTTTGGTGCTCTTTGTCAGCATTGTTTGAAGTCGATTCAACTATATTTTGAAAGGATTATTTCACCATTTTTAGTGTACGATATCTTTGTAATGAGTAAATAAGTGCGATATTTAAAACACTACGTACCGTAATGTATAGTACCAAATTTTAGTATGATGGAATATATTAAATATAGTTTAATAAGTTCGTAACTTTATTTAGATAAGATAGTTAGATGTTACATTTGAACCCAAAAATATATTGTTTTCCACATTACTTAATTTTCCAAAACTGGGAGTGGTTTAATTTTTTCTTTACATTTGAATGGAACTAAAGGGGAAATATACCTTTCCAAATAATAAAAATATTTTTCATAATCGCAAACCGATTATGAAAAATATTTTTAATTATAATAAGAGTTTTTTTCAAACATTTGTCGAAATGTTTTGTAATCTCATTTATAACTCTCCTATGCTCATATCTCTGTAACCCCACACAAACATTTAACAAATATCTTGAAAGAATAAAACAAGGTCTATACATCATTAGATTTATGAAATCGTTATTTTCTAACTCCTATCAAGGATCCTCCCATCAATAGCTGAGCAACATGACATAACGACTACTAAACGCTAATACTTATAAAGCTAGAGAAATAAGCTAAAACACGTGGGGCTGTCCTTATGGTGAGATCTGATGGTCCAGATCCTGATTTGGTGATAATGGGACTACCTCGGGAGCATGCCCTTTCGATTACAAATATAATTTTGAAAATCGGTCCACAATTGACGGAGACACCGCGTAACAAACATACAAAAAAATACAGAGGAATTGATAACCTCCTCTTTTGTGTTTTTGAAGTCGGTTAAAAAAAGTAAGAAATATTAAATGAATTATTGGTAATTTCATTCGAGTATGTCAAGAGTTTTGACTTAACAAAAATTACCCCAGCTCCCCTGTGTTAAATGCTGGATGCAGCCTGTGTCGCTGGGGAACTTAATAGAGATAAAATTAGGGAGAACCATTTACCTATTTCTTTGGATGGATGGAAACTTCTTAGGAACAAAAAGACGCTCTCTCCAGAGCTCGCCAGAGCTATCGTTGATGTCCGTTTAACAGAATTAAATACGCACTGATGTCACTCCTGCGATTTACAGTTATTGGAAGATATAAAAATTAAATCAATTCTAGGGCTACACGATTGATGGTCTGATAATAGTCCCATTATTGCTCGGGAGAAACCAATACTCAATGCAGTTCCAGTATTTAAATTTAGAGATAATCCTTCCTATGGTAATTGATAAAGGTGAAAAACGAACCAACACTAACTTAAAATAAAAGGTTTGGCTTAAAATAACCAATACTATAAATTTACTCATTTTTTAGGTATGGGATGCAAGTTCTGATGCCATGATATCATTCAGTAGTGCCGAGCTGCTAGATGATGATGTAGCTTATATAGTCGAAAATGATGTTTTACTCCACGCTGTCAACACAGAGTTACATGCTACTCACAACGATAATGTCAACATACTCTACAATGCAAAGATAGCTGGGTACCAGCTTCCTACAGGCACTGAGAAATCCAATAAGAGTACAGTGAAAATGGCCAACGGAGACACATACACGTGTCAACTATTGGTAAGTACACACTAAAGCAAGTAACAGGACTTTATTTTCTATAAAATATTTTGATTGCAATGCTAGACAGTCAAGAAATTCAAGAAATGAACTTCCTAATCATCCAAAGTATATTCTTCATGACTCTGGTGGTTGATTAAGTTTATTTTCGATCCCATTCAATCTGGATTCTGTAGTATCGATTAACTTGTTTATTTTCTTTGTCAATTCCATCAGCTGGGTCTTTATGTCAACCATACATATTTCTTGTATCGCATTAATAGTTAACGATGTAGGCCGTGCCTTGTCAACATTTGAGCCCGAAGTCGTCCGCTTTCTTCGTTGGCTTTCTATGGAAAACCTGTCAAACAAATTACTTCTCCTTTTTACAACATCTTGTTTTAGTCTTTCGTCTTCTCCTCTGTTCTTTTTTATTTTAAACTCATATTGATTTTTCCGTATACTTCTCCTTGGTTCCTTACGATTTTCCATCTTCATCTTGTAGATTGATGATATCAAGTCTTTTGGTATCTGAAAGGAGATGCAAATGTAAAATGAAAAATTGTAACAATAAGGCAAGACTAATCCATTGCTCCTATATCTTAAAGACCTATCTGCTGCTGCATGCACCATTATTGACAAAAAGTGATAAATCACAAATTTTTTACTTGTGTTAACAATCTTGAGATCCAAAATTAGGTGGTAATCTAGAAAAAACCTCTACAATAACATTTTTTTTTTCATAATATCTTATTATATTTACCCTAGTCTCTCTGGGATCGTTAGGCCGTATAGTGAGAGTGCGCATGTGTGAGACAGTCAATAAAGCCCCCCATCTCAGTACAGCTAGTATTTGCTTGGGCGCACACGTGAGCAACGAACTAAACAACATGCTCTCTAGGTGGGCAACTAGCTTTGTCTGGCGCACTAAGCGGTCCAAACCCGCACTTTCTTGTAAAGCCTGCGAAATAAAGAAGTGTATTTGAATGAAAATTCTCGAGTCACTTATACTCTATTTTTAAGCTATAGCATACAGCTGAAAAACAATTCTACTGTGGAGATACTGGGTACTGCATTCATTCATACAGTTTGCACAAATAATACAATTTTAAATGTTAGATCAATAATTTACATACCTGAATATCACTAACAGCTAAACCTACTAGAAGATTGGTCAAAATGACCGTGACTAATAACACAAATATCAGAAACATGGCATGGGCGGTCACTGGATAGTGAATTTCAGAGTTAGTGCAGTTGTTGTAGAAGATATCCTCGTATTCAAGTTCTCCAGACATCATTATGACCGTTTTTACTAAGCTAGCTGGTAATCGGAAAGCGGCATAGTTGCTGAACAACACGCTGAATGCCAACCCAAAAGCAATAAGGAGACAACTGTAGGCCAGCAGAAAGGTTGCGAAGTTCACAGTCACTGAAAAAAATAACATATTTTAAAGTGATTTATTGAAAAACGAATACTGCTATTGAGGGTTCATATTGACTAGTCATGCAAATAAAATCAATAGTATTGAAATATCCCTTAAAGAATTATCATGGTTCAAAACTAGAGGACGTAGATTTGAATTCCACCCAAGACAAATAATTGTGAAATGACCACTCATTTATTTCGTGTTTGGGTGAAATGGGGGTTCCCTCTATCTGGCAGAATCTTGACGCTCCGAAATTTATTTCGCATAACACACTTGGCAGAAACTACTTTAAACGAATATGTTTAAGGCTTAAAAAATATTGGCCGAATATTTATATGTCCGAATTTACAATGGCATACTTTTAAGATGGCATAATTTTATTTAGCATAATCACCGGCAGAGTTAAAATTCCGCATAATTTCGTTTAGCATAAGGTTTATTTAGAGCGCCGATTATTTGGTACAATTTCACTTGGCATACTATAAAGATGGCAGAATTTCACCTGGAATAATTTTTTTAGGCATATTGCCATAAAATAGCATTTTCAACCTTAAAAAATATATGTGTTTAATCAGTCAATTTTAATTTTATGCTAAGAAATACAAAATGATGGATAGAAAATCTTTCTATTGTTATAGATATGATATATTTGCCAAAAGATGATTCTCGCTGTAAACTTTCTGAGATATAATAGTTCTGCCTTTTAATGACTATCGATATGAAATTTATGCTCAAAGACGATTTTGACTATGAACTTTCGGCGATATGATGGTTCTACTTTTTAATTATTATGGATATGAAGTTTATGGCTTAAGATGATTATGACTTACAGAATTTCGAGTTTTGAATGTATGATGAATGAGTGTCTGCCAAACGATTTTCTGCGAAATGTAGTTTATGCTATCCGTTGTTATGCAAAATAATATTATGACAAAAAGTTCTGCTATAAAGGGGGGACTCGTGAAATTGATCTCTAAAGAGTATGTATTTTTAATAATTAAGTATATTTATCAGCAGTGTAGTTGCCTTAATACAAGCTGTAATTAGTATGAGCTTAGGTGACTTAGGTGTGAGGTGTATCAAATTATATACATAGATACAAGAAAGTAGTCGTACTGTTCAGAAGCATTAAGTTAAATACATTCACACCTAGCTACCTCCAACTCAACGCATTAAAATGAGATCAAAAAATTCTCAATGTTCAAATAAAAGAGTACAATAAAAACCGTGTATCTCAATTAGAACTCGAGTTATGAAGAAAGAAATCTACGGAAACATAGGAAAAGTACACGAAACGTTTCAAAATAACTTGTGAAAGTGATGTGATATACTTAATGAGAAATATGTGCATCAAACAAAATTTGCTCTGAATCCATCACTCATACATGTTCTTTATATTCATTCTTTGAAGTAAAGACGTTGACAAGCTTTCCATTAATAAATTACAATAAAACATAAAATTTTCTTCTGCTATATCAATCATCGTCCTCTTACCTCTTTTCCATACTTATTTAGAGTCTGCAGAATTTATTTTCGTCTTCCATTCTTTTATTCTAACTACTTATGTTACTGCATACTTTTCTGGTTATATCTCTACTATTGTTTTAACCAATCAGTAGTCCTCTACAATTATGATCATCAAATCTCATACATGAAACTCTTCACCACATTTTACGCATCGCTTCTCATCAAATAACCAATAAATAATTTTAGTGAATGCTTACCAGTAGTAAACATTTCCACGTATAGGCCAAACGTTGGAAATCGTCCAATAATTAACATTAACTCGAACCAACAAAAGAATATTGTAATGGCCGCGATATCGTGTTGCCAATTAACCGTATTTGTTCTAATAAGGCCGTTATTCCAACTTATTGGTATCTATAAACAGAAAATACAACTTCCTATGATCCTTAATAGGCAAACAACTCTTCTCTTTGCGCTTAGTTTCCGAGAGCCTATAAATCGTACAATAGAAAGGAATTTAAAATTGCCTTATTGAGACTTACGTTGGGCAGTTTGCAAAGCCCTCAATATTACACAAGAGTTCGATTTTGCCCTCCTAAGCTCAAGCCTAGCATAATAAATACCCATAGGTATGGAATTAATAATAAAACAAATTAACCTTACCGTACATAGAAATACACCCAAAATAATAAGCCACTGTAACCAGTTTTCCCATTGCCTAATGTAAGCAGACCAATCAAGATACGCTTGAAACATTTCTTTGATCATAAAACATAGGTTTAATAAAATTATAAGAATCTGTACTGGTTGAAGATATGCAGGCACGGTGCACGTTTCCGACTCACATAAGAATATTCCTGTAAACAAGGAAATTATTATATCAGAACATTATTCTGTAATAATGAGCCAAATGGAAACACTGCAGGTGTTTTTGACTGTCTGTGTATAAGATCAAAACAAGTAAATTTATGTGGATTCTTTATAGACTGGTTTGACAGTAAACTGATTAGAAAATATAAATTGACCTTCTTCAAAATACAAATTACATAAATAGAATCTGTAATTAATACGTTCTATATTTAGCAAATCTACAGATAGTACTTACTTAGTATATATAGACTGTATAGTGTGATAAACAAAGCGTGGTAAATGAAACTGAGAACGAAAAACTTTCGTATTCTTCTCCATTTCAAAAACAAAAATGTTTCTGCTACTGGATGCTTCAACACGTCTTTACGGCCAACCTGAAACATTAAAATATCAAGTGCTACTAAAATCAATGTCATCACCATCAATATGTTCATCCGGTCTGGCGATACGTAGAAAAGGACGTAAGGGTCATCCAGAAACAAAGTCTTCTTCCTAGTAAAAGTTAGTAAATTAAAAGTTTTCGAACAAATTGTCTCTGAAACTCTGAATATAAATGATTATAATAATCTAAGAAAATAAAAAACTGCTTGATATAAATATTCTTTGTACTATTGAAAATGTATCAAATTGTAGCTGGAAAAATGTGAGTGTTTATTAGGGTTTAAGATACTGGGATAAAAAACATGTGATATGTGTGAATATATGTGTGAATTTACGGGTAAACAAATCTTTACCTCGATAAATGCTAATAAAAGTTCTGCTTCACCTCTTGCCAGACAAGGTACTAAAGGTCTGAAATCTATGGTGAGTTCGCAATCCACATCACCTAATTCGTGTTCGCTAACGTGAACTGCGTCGTCAAATTTGCACAGATACCGTGGAACTACTTCTGGAACACGACGTACAATGAACGACAATGCTGACGCTCCTCCGTTTGTTCGTAATGTTACATCTCCACCGTAATCTGAAAAATAAACAATTTGCCTTGTAAATTCACTGTTTCATATTCAAGCAACATATTTTATCGAAACGTCAAAATAATTGAGTTTAGATTTGAAGATTGATAGGTGTTTATACATTCTGATACTGTTTTCAATGAGTGATTCATCACCATACTAGTTCCCTGCAACTTACACGTGGAAACGTATTAATTATTTTAATACCATCAGTTCTGTAAATGTAGTAAAATTTATTTATGTTTAATAAATGTTTGCTTACCCAGCAACAACAATACACAGGCAGAGAATTCGTTTAGCGCAGCTATATGTAAAGATGTGTATCCAAAGTTGTCCGGCGCGTTTGGATCGGCTCCGGCTGCAAGTAATACTCTCGCCACATCGCAAGCTCTCGCTCCTCTTACTATAGCCCCATGTAAAGGTGTTCGCCCATCTGCATCGCGGGCCCGTACATTCGCCCGTTTGTTCACAAGAAGTTCAACCACCTCTAGTGATTGTGCCAAAGTAGCTACAAAAATATTACATGTACAACAATATCAACGAATATTTTAATTAAAAATAGATGTTATGAGATCATGAAATAGATATTACGGAATCTGTTATATGAGAACGACTATAATAATAATATGTATACACAATACCTACCCATGCAATAGTTAGTTATAAATAACTAACAGTAATCATCAACTGCTTACCAAGATGTAGAGGTGTTTGTTCTCTAGAATTGGTTGTGTCAATTTGTGCTCCGTGTTCAAGTAGTAGTCGTGCGCACTCAGCATGACCATCTTCTGCTGCAAGATGTAATGCTGTTGTTCGGCCAACACCCATTGCTGCTCGAACGTCAGCACCCGCATCCAGCAATAGTTTCGTACATGAGGCTGAGCCCAAAGATGCCGCAACATGTAGAGGTGTTTCCGTGAAAACCTGCACATGTTAGACCCTCAAAAACATTGTTTTGAAGCATTTCTGTTAATTTGTTTACTTTGGGTAATTTATCTATCATCTAGTCAAAGTTCGGTGTGTTTATGTATAATCAAAAATAGGTCGCACCTGTTGCGTATCAGGACAAGCGCCTGATTCTAATAACTCTTTCACAACTTCCGGTGCATGACTGAGTACCGCGTAATGCAGAGGAGAGCGCTCGGATAGACCAGCATTTACGTCAGCTCCTGCAGAAATCAGCACCTATTGCAATAAATATTTCAATATTTTTGTGGGTCGTCTTTTATCTTTATAAATAAATGCCTTGTTTACCTTAACACATGCTAAACTTTTTGCGCTCGCCGCACAGTGCAAAGGTGTGGCTTTTCTCTCACTTGAAGTGGAATCCCACATATTTGGGTCGGCTTTATGTTCCAGTAAAAGCTTAGCACAATCTGCACTGCCAACTAAACAACTTAAATGTAAACATGTTCTGAAAAAACCACAATATCGTTTTAAAAATAAAATAAAAACGGCATAATAACATCAAATACTGTACATATATTACCTGCCCACTTCGTCTGCCTTATTGGGATCTAGTCCCAATTTTATTATTTTAGACAGTAATAAACTTCTCCCGAGCCAGCACGCCCATAGTGCAGCAGTGAAGAGTCCATTATCACTTTGTGAGGCAATTTCTAGTACTGCGTCATAATGCCCGTTCTCTATACATGTTGATATTTCTTCGGCTAGCGGCAAATGTCTCAAGTTAAATTCGATCTCATCTAAAACATTCACCAAATTCTAATTTAAGTAAACTAAAGCTGAATCATACAATATACATAGATTAGGAAAATTTACAAAACAACACGTTATCTTTGTTGCGTTGTACCGGAACGGAAACGGAAACATATGTATATCAACAAACAGTTTTATTTGTAGATAAAAAGCCGCAATTTTTCATTTATTATTAGTATTGGAAAAAACCGCCTCATAAGAGCAAAAAAAAGTAAAATAACTTACGTCGTTTCTTGTTATAAGCTCTATTATAATAAAGGGTGTAAAAGACGTCTTAGCGAATACTGTAAATAGTGTATTCAGACCATCATTCAGAATCGAAAATCATTGGAATTATCTGCCGGATTTTTTAATGCAATCAACGACAAGTCAAAGGTTAAGGTCGTTCCCCGTAGGTATCGCACAAAAGTGATAACTATATGTGTATTCCGTGCAAACAGTTATGCACATTAACACAAGTTTTCGGCTTTTTGATTAATTACATTGCAGTTTTTAACTGTATGCGGTATTTATAAAATTGTTTTCGATAAAATGTTCAATTTACTCATTGTGATTTCATTTTTAACTAAAAAACTGGAAAATTATAAAAAATAATTGATGAATTTTCCGGCAGATAATACCAATGATTTTCGACTCAGAATCTTGGTCGGAATACACTATTTCAGTATTCGTTACGACGCGGCGACGTCCCTTACACCCTGTGTACTATTTCCTATTTTCCCTTGATTTCTATGTTCTTTCTTTTAATAAGCAAAGTCGTTTATAAATTTTTAATTACGACTATGATGACAGGAAATTTAAGTTTGATCCCTAATCATATACCTCGGTCTTTATGTGTTGTTTTGTTTGTGCATGTAGATATTACACATATGTAATTTGTGCAATATCTACTACTAAACTTTGTTTTGATGAACGGCAAACCCAACACAGTTGACAGCAAAAGCTCAAGTTCCTGTTCTAACCTTATCGAGCACTAAGCTAAACAAATTTTATCTTATCTTGTAAATACAATCGCAATGAGGGTTTGTTGTGTTCTTCTTGACTGCAATTTGAAAAAGTATGGTATAAAGGTATTACCTAGCTCCCAAATATCGGGCGATGGCTTGACCCTTAAACGTTCAGCTAAATCAGCTCCATGCGCAGACTCGTCACTGGATATGTATCCCGCTTCTAAATCATCATCGGTGTCTTCAGTGACTTGACTTATGTCCCCACACCATCGCGCACTATCTTGACGATATACCTAGGGAATACAATCGCACTGAGAACTTCCATTTTTTTAATAACCTCGGTTTAAAAACTGAAATCAACATTCATATCATAAATATAGCACAGTCTGTACCGAACATGAATGTAAACACATTAGATTGGTATAAAGAAAAGCAGAACATCACAGTTATTATATTAACCTTCTTCTTGCCATTATTTTTCGGCGTGTTTTTGTTCACGTTGCGCAAACGTACATCGGGAGAGCGCTTCATACCGCGTGCCCGCGTTTTACTGAAAACTGAAAGCTATTCTACGCCCACTCTTGTCATCCCCGCCGATGGATATAATCATAAATTGAGAAATGATATTAAATTAGATTTTTTGGTGAAATTGATTAATAACGGCTCTAGTAATACAAACAATTATTGTAGTAGGCATGTTTTTGTAGTGTATAAACACGTTTGAATTTTATACTTTTTAAAATAAAATAATAGGAATCAATTTGGAAATGTACATTTAGATAGGATCGGAATCGTCGTCGCGTGTGTGGCAACAAGCTCAACCCACACAATTATTTTTGTATCTATCTATAGTACCGATTCCTTCTGATGTTATTTAGTTGTATTCCAACACCTGAGATGAACTTTTTTAGTAAAAAAATGACCTCATTTAGAAGATTAATTGATAAGTCACAATATTTCGCCTTTACATGTAGCGTAATTATAGAACCATAGAATTAATCTGACAGGTCCCTTCGCCCCCAAAGTACGGAGAACATCCTTATGAACTCATGACGTAGTGGTTCGTTGTGGTAGCGGGTTTTGGGTTCGATCTCCACATCACATCACACATCATCACATCAACAGCCTTTAATAGTCCACTGCTGAACATAGGCCTCTCCTTAGAAAGGAGGTTTTGGCCTACTATACCACGCTGGCCAGACGGGTTGGTATAGGGTTTGTGTCAAGTTTTCCTCCGTCATCCCCACATGAGACGACAATTTGTGTGATCTACAAATTGTTGTTCTGAATCTGGGCGTTTTTTGTGTTTTGGGTATGTCCGTAAAATCTTCCACGTCACAGGATATATTATTAGTGCGGAAGTTGTACTTAAAAATTAAACAAAAGTCTCCTACCACTTAAAAAAAGCAAAGACCTTAATTTGGATTTCATTATATTTTAAACAAACCAAACCGACAAAAGGAGAGGCTCTGAATTCGATTGGATTTTTTTTGTTTGTTCGAATCTCCTTGACATTTGGATATATTTTTTTATCTTTCACTTCATCTTTTGTCCCATTTGAATATGTAGAAATAGTAACCCTCTTAAATCACGTCGGGGTCACCACTTTAGGGAATATTGTATGAGTGTGTGATACCTATAACTTATTAGCATAAGTAAATGAAAGGTATTCACGTGTTCAAGTAAACTGGGTTTATTTTCGAATAACTTAACGATGGGCGCAGCCGCCGCTATACACAAGTGTATTTGCTTAAGCTACCTGAACTGTACACTTACATAATTATTACATATATGAAAGGAAAATAAATAAGTAAGATACGTTGTGTCCCTACAGGTGAAAAGTTAAGGCACTTTATTCATTCAAGCGCATTAAAGTAAGCGCATTAAGTATACTAAATTAAAAGCATAAGTATAAGATTATGTATGAACTTTTAACGTGTGTCAAGTAAATGTGTTATTGCTAAGTTAGGCTTAATAAAGACCTACGTAGGTACACAGCAAAAACTACCAGTTGCTGTAATGATGATGAATGCCATATTTATGAATGTTCATAGTTTCATAACGGTTTTTGCGTCCTCTTTGCTTTATTTTACGTTTCATAATAAGGAGGCTTATTCTAACTGATCTTTTCATAGTACATCTTTTGAGCGTTCAAAACCTAATCACATTAGATAAAAATTGTAGATTATATAATTATTAATTATATGTATACTATATTAATTGTTATACGAACATTTCTCATACCTAAAGTGCGGTTATGAAAATTATGATTGAACTTGTTCTTTGTTTCGTGAAACTCTGACGCTTTTGTATGAGGTTATTTATTTATTCAATTTCTACGCAATATTTATAGCCTAGCCTATATATTTATGGCCTATATATAAAAAAGTTATAGTTCTCAAAATGACGGAAGCCGAAAGAGTTAGTACATTAACCAAATGAAATAAAAACATCTTGGCAATCCATCCATTTTTCGAGTGTATGCATGTATATTTGGCACGATCTGTAGTCTAAACGGCTTCGACGGATTCTGTCATGAGAGGTGTCGTTAGATTCGTTTTAATTGTGAGAGTGACACTGGGTATATCAATAATAATTAAAAAAATGGCCGATTTTGACGCTATTTTATGTCTCATTTTTTTTTCTTCAAAACCTCAAAAATTCTTGAAACATTTTAACGCTGTCGAATGTTTATAGATTAACCAAACCAATAAAGAGCTTATTAGTTTGCACTGTTCGAATAAACCAAAAACGATGCAATCAAAATCAAAAAGAGTACTTACTGTACATATGATCATGATATGCTCAAGAAAGCTCATTTCCTGAAACTGTATATAACTTTAAGCTTATGCCTCATAAAAATCTCAACAAGTAAGGATTCTTGGTACTGAGATCTCATGAAGCACGGCAGTTTACCTTGTTGAGGTCCTAAAACATAGCGTCTGAATAGTAGGTATTCTAAGGATTTACGAGGGTTTTTGTTGTTAAAAAGTTCCAATAACTAATTTTCAACCAAATTGCAAGAAATATACAGTGGTTTAAGAAGCTTAGACATAAATAGAAGTAGATGTGGTCCAAGTTACATTGACTTCACGGATGGCGTAGTGGTTTAAGCGGTCACCACGCCGCTTTCTACTACGCAGAGTGTTGTGGGTTCAAACCCCACATGGGACGACACTTTATGTGATCCACAAATTGTTGTTCTGAGTCTGGGTGTTCTTTGTGTTCGTTTAATGTATGTTTGTAAAGTCCCCCGCGACAGAGGATATATTCCTAATACGGGAGTTGTCTTTTAAAAAAAAAAGAAAGGAAAGAAAGACTTATGGCAAACATTAGTCTACCCTTTTTAACGCCTTCAAAATGTTATAGCAATTCTAATAAAAATAATCAAAATAAGTTTTCAAACTGATTTTTATGTAATAATTCGTACTTACGAGGTCAAGAAAGCAATAGCCTCGTTTTTGAAGAAATAATTAAAGAACTGAATTAAAAATTAAAAACAAAATAAACAACCAACTTTTACCAGGTTTATAAAAATATAAGTTTCATTGCATTATTAGATTAAAAACTATTTTTGAACTTAATACGCCTATCCTCACTTTGTTTATTACTTCTTGAAATATGTTCGGGCTTCTTCTCTTGTCCTATAAATTTATTTGGAGTCGGCACTATGAGTTTTCTTCTTCCATTCTCCTCTATCTCCTTGACATCCTCTTAAGAGGCGCGAAATAAACAACAGTTTAAAAGCTATAATTATTCGCTACGACATTAGTTTAATGTTAACCAAAAGGACCAATTAATGATTAACCTAAATTAAACACACTTCTTCTTGAACTGTGCGATGACCTTGAGTAATGTTATGTAATGGAAACAATAAATACTCAGAATGCCTCAAATATCCAACAAAACTTCGATTTGAAATTACTGCGTGCTAAATTCATCTTGTCATAAAGTGACTGAAACCAGCTGGTATTTCAGTGAAGCATGCAAACATTAAAATCAAATATCCAATATTAGAGCATTAAAACCACATAGTTGCGGCACCTTGCTGTTCTTATACAGCTGTTAAATTTATGTGGAACTAAGTATATGAATTTTAACTTATAACTTCTGATCAAACATGTACTTAATTTCAGTTAGAGCAACTTAAATAGTTATGTCTTTCGAAATTAATTAAATCCTTTATTTAATTTTGGTGATGAAGCACCATGACGCAGCTCTGTGTATTCGTGGTTTGGAGAATTTAGACGTGGACGTGATCATTTCCATGACGAGGCACATGATGGTTGGCCGGCGACTTACAGACTGACAAAAAAAAATGACTCGCCATCAAATTCGTGCTTTGTTAGGCATTGGAATGAACCGAGTGTAAAACATTTTACATGTGCATCCGAAGGTTCGGCAGCTTTGCACTCGATGGATATACCGCATTACTTAAAGGATGAGCAGAAACGACTGCGTGTGCAGTGGTGCCCTAAAATGATAAAAAAGCTTAACGGAGGACAGTCATTGGCTGTATAATATCGTGTCAGGTGACGAAACCTGGGTGTACTGCTTGGGACCCGAAAGAAAAAGCCAGTCGGCAGAGTGGGTCTTCCTTTTAAAGATTTGTCGACAAAAGTTAAGGAAGGTCGAAGCATTGGTAAAAAATGGTTGCTTCTTTTGATGTGATGTTACACCACAGTATCGCTTAAAGATCAAAGAACAGTGACTGCAAATTGGTACGTCAACACTTGCTTGCCCAGGGTCTTAGAAAATGTTCGCGAAAAGCGTCCTCGAAGCAATGTCCTCCTTTACTACGATAACGCATCCTTACATTTCGCTAAGGTAACAGAAGCCTATTTGAAGGCTTAAAATGTGGAACTGATGACGCATCTGCCTTACAGCCTGGACCTCGCACCCTGCGACTTCTTTTGTGGCCAAAAATTAAAGACAAACTTAGAGGCACACGTTTTACGAGCCCTGAAACGGCGGTGAATGTTCCATGAAGAGGTCCCTAAGAAAGAACCCATCCAAGTGCTTTGTACAGTGGTTTCAGCGAATGAAAAAATTCATTAATTGCGAGAGAGTATACTTTAAAAAACAATAAATGTATCGTAAGTCTTATATCTAGTCTTATTTATCAGAATCCAGAAACTTTTAGTATGTCTTAAGTATTTATTTTAGCTTGGTTGGATTGATTTTAATTTGTTATTAAAATTGTAGTGTTTCACATCAATGTATAAAATTTTATTGTATTTGCCCAAGTTTATGTTCTATTTAAAACTTTGTTTAGACATACTCCCGAGTGTTGCTTTCAAAATGCCCCCATCCTTGTTTTATGAACAAAGGAAGACGCCAAGGTCTTACTTGCTTCAATTTTAGCACACAATGTTTATAAAATTGCCGATACAGACAATGAGCCAAGTTACACACAATAGTTACTATCTTCTGAAAATTAATGAAATATCTACATGAACAAACTTTTGATACTGGACTCTTAGCCGCAAGGAATTATTAAAAAAGAAGAAGAAGAATCACAACTGCCGGGT